AATTTGGATATATTTATGTTGTTTAAACATGATTTGAAGATCACATTAATATTAATATAAAATTAAGACCATGTATACAGAGTGAGTCAGGAGAATTGCACCAAACTCCGGGAATGGATTCTACACATCAAAATAATAAGAAAAACTCAAATGTTACGTGATTTTCATTTGCTTTCGTGTTATAGCATAATTACAAATTTTAAAAATTTGCAATCAGAGCATGTCACGTCCCAAGTTCCAACGCTCCAGCGTTGCGCTATGAAAATAACATCACGCTATTGTACTATCTAGCACTTTCCGTGCACCTAACCCCCTACACTATAGGTCCCATAGCGAGCTCGCATGATAGAAACACATTTGTACGATCAGTGTTACAAAATGTCAAGAACTTATTCAAATTAGAGTGCAAATATTTGTTTATGGTTTTCGTAATGGAAATGCCAATACTGCTGTTGAAGAATATCATCAACGATTTCCAGATGATGTCCTAATAAAAACGTATTCATCAGAGTTTTCAACAAACTTTGCGAGACCGGAAAGCTTCCCAGTGGTAGTATAACATCTGTACGAGCTCATCGACAAGGTTTAGAAGAACTAGAAAATATGCATGATGCAACTACAAGCTCATGAAAAATTGCTATGTAATCAATTGGGCATTCCACAAAAAAAAAACCACCACGAACAAGGCTTATATCTGTACCATGTGCAGAGAGTACAACACCTATAACCAGAAGAATATCCTAAGCATATCAAGTTTTGTCGATGGATCAATAATAACCATCTTGTTGTATCCCGCATACTTTTTACGCATGAAGCAACATTCACCCGTGGCATAACTAATACTGAGACCTCTCATGTATGGTCAGTCAAAAATTCTCACGCAACACTCGAAAGTAATTTTCAACATAGGTTTTCGGTAAACGTGTGGTGTGGTATGATCGATAGTATTTTTTTTTTAAATGGATTACTAGTACTACTAGAGGATGTTCCTATAAACATGAGGATGCGAATGTACTACCAGCACCATAGATCTCCTGCACATTTCGCTCATCCAGTCAAGTACATTTGAACGAGAGGTTTCCAGGCCGTTGGAATGGCTGCGGTGGTCCTATTAGCTGGCCTCCAAGATCTCCACAGCTCACAGTACTATAGTAGGATCGTATTCGATGCAAAGTTGTCATCATTTTTAGGAGGCGCAAGATGAACTATTTCAAATTTAAAATGAAATTGAATGTAAAATCTGAAATACCACTGCGTACGCACTGTGTTCTAGTAGTAGCTGTAGTCGCCTAGGTGCATCGAGTGTACGAAGTGGTCGGTTATAAGTCAAATACTAACCTGGCGAGCTTGGTCGTAGCTCAAAGAGCGCCTCCAAAAAACAAGTAAACAATGGCGCGTACAAAGGTAAAATGTAGTACATATGTGGAATTTAAAAAACAAATTGGATTTATAATAAATTACATTTAAAATACATAGTTTATGAGAATAAAGGAATTTTTGTAGGAACAAGGGTGACAGACGTGAACTGATCCCTTCGTCCCTTCATAATGTATAAAGAAATTATTCAATTGCTAAAACCCTTAAAAGCGTATGGCACTGGATCCCTTGACAGGCAATGATTTATTACTTTGCATTGAATATGATCCTACTATAGATTACTGTTTATGGGGCTGGTTCAAAAATGAAGTACCTATACAAGTAAACACTCTGGAGGCACTAATTCGATGTATCATCAATACTGCAGCACTTTCAGACATGCAGCAATCGGGAGAGCTACAGATGCCCTTTGTAGATAAAGCAGAAAGTGTTTAGAGGTCAATGGTGATGTTTTTGAACATTTAATCAAAAAACGCTATGATTCATACAATATCAATAAATTATTATTTTTTTATTGAAATGTACATCATAGCTTTGCAAACAAATGAAAATCGCATAACAACATTTGAGTTTTTTCTTACTATTTTGACATGTAAAATCCATTCCTTGTGTTTGGTGCAATTCTCCAAACTCGTTCTGTGGATTTAATGGGTATAGATCAAATTTCAACTCGGCAAAATCAATAAAATGTATATTAAAGTTTCTTACTTGTTAAAACTGCTGTTTACAGTATTTGTTGTAGACAAGTTGTTACAAAAAAGTAGATCAAGCTATTAACCACAGGTTGTTTGGGCAAATATAATAGGTTTGTTTCTATAGCAGTCTCAGACGGTTTTTAAACTAACGAACAAACTCGACCACTTAAGTTGTCTCTGATAGTTTCAAATCAATCCGTAACTGCTGTAGAAACAAACTTATAGGATTTTGCTCATATTCCATTTAGGCACCTTTTCCAAGATACACCCTGTTTTCGCAATACTGTTGTCAATAAAATAAAAATCTTTTTTTATACTAACTTTGACATCTTGAGAAAAACGCGCCTAAATGAAAAAATGGCATAAAAGAAAGTCCCATGAAATACCTAATCTGGTTAAACATTGCTTGACCAATTTTTTTTGTAATACCCCTAAATTTAATGGCAAATCAAGCCAGCCTAGCTTTATGACTAGATGTGACTAAAATTTAATTGTTCGTTATATAGATAACAATTATGAAAAATATTAAGTACAAACAATATATGTTGGTATCATAGAAATGTAACAACTAAATATCTGTAACTATGTGTATATATTGCTTTCTTTCGCTTGAAGTAATTTATCCTAGATATATTGACTATCCATTCTGATAACACGACTCTGTTCATGGATTTAAGTAGGTATTAATTAAATTCATTATTATATGGCCATTGTTTATACTTCATTTATTCAAACATGGATTGTGAAGTATTTATCACATTTTTTTTAATTTCTAGCCCTTTTGCTTGATGAACTCATAGAAATTACCAATTCATAGGTGTTGCCTTTTCTTTCTAGCAGGTGTGATGAAAATAAATGTTACTTTTTAATACTTCAAAAGGGATGGTCAATATGGTAAAGGAGAAGAATCTTTGGATTTAAGGAAAACTGCATTAAGAGTAAACATGCAATGTTTTATATTGAATTCAAGGAAATAAAAATATCCGTTTATTTTATTTCAAACCCAAGAATCTGTGGTGGTTCCACATACATGGAATATTGGGACATTCTTTGAGAGATTCTTTTATACTATATGGCCTTAAATTGTCTACCTATTTTCATGGCGGATAGTGTAATATATTAAAAAAGAGTTTTTTTTTTGGTATAAACTTTCTTCTGAAAATTAAAGATAGCAGGTATCATATGTTCTTAAAATAATATCTTAAAAGTCCTTTCCCTTATCTATTTTAGAAAAAAAGATACTTTGTTATGTTCTATCTGTCCTAAAATTATTGAGAGTATAAAATTGTTACAGTTCGCTAGATTACTGAACGGCGTTTTCTTAGATAAGTATATTTAAAATGCATACGAGTGTCCCAAAAAACAGTGGACATACAGCAACCACAGGTTCATAGACAAATACCTACTTAATATGAAATTTAAAACTTATTTTTTCGTAATAGCAAATTGAATTTTCTCTCTTTATTAGAAATTTTAAGACTAATTGACAAGCTGCGGTTTTGTACGAAATTAATACATAATTCAGAAATTCAATCGCTTTCCTTAAAAGACAGGTGAAGAAAATATTTTTTTAATAAAGATCTGCTTACGTTCTCTGTACACCACTGATGTAGGAAATAAAAGATTATTTTTACTTCTTCCAGTGCCTTTATAATATAATATACAAAATTTAATTTAAAATGTTAGACTAACATCATGTTACTTGAATTTTTTGAATAAGATAAGTTGATGACTAGTTAATTTGCTTTTATTTTAGATAGGTACCTTGATTGTATGACCACTGTTTTTTGAGACATCCTGTAGGTATACAGGATGTTTTGGAAAAGGCATAAGTTCAGACCGTCAAAAAAGTAAGACGATTTTCTTCTTTTGCTGACAAACAATTTAATCCATTAAAATTACAGGTAGGTTTTCAGGAGTGGTAAATACATCAGCATTATCAGTTTTTGACCATCTACCACACATGTCACTAGCTACGACCTAGTGACATTTTATGACCGCTTTTTTGAGGTTAGGTTATTTTATTTTACATAAAAAAGTACTCTCTCTGAAACTGTTGAGAAAAATGGGATTGACTGTTTTAAAATTAACCAGCTTCTACTACGTTTTATACAAGGTGTCTGGAAATGAATGGGCCAGATATTAAGAGTGGCCTTCTTGGATAACAATAAATTAGATCAAGTTATTAGTTATTGGACACCCTAGGTATATATTAAATATTAGACGCAGGTTGACTTTGTGGGAGTCGATGGCGTTTTTCTCAAAATGGTGCGATTTCAGCGATTTCAAGAAGAGTATTTTTTTTATGTAAAATGAAATTTTGTATGATATATCACATACATTTAATAAAACCTATCCTCTAGCAGATGGTCAAAAACTAATAAATCTAACACATTTAGGACCTTTGAAAACGTGTCCATATCAAATTTCAGTACCTACATTTGTTGTTTTTTTTTTGTAAAAGATGTGGCTAAAATTTGGTTTTGAGAAATTTTGTTTTACGCCCTGTATCTGCTAAAACGAAAGACTTATGGCCCAAAGCAAAAAAGTTCTTAGCTTTTGATATTCTATCAATAACTAAATTGAGGCTGCCTTTTTTTAAAACACCCTGTATATATAAAACTTGGAGCTTTAGAAAAATTTAACTGTATTTGCTCCTTTCTCCATATTGCTAAAGAAAAATAATCATAACTCTTGACATTTAGACACGTTTTAGAATAGAAAACTTTATGTATTTATTCTTAAGCAGTTCACCTATTAAAGACTCATGTCAAAATACATGTTCCGTACAAAAACGAGTATCATAGCAAATACGCTCTTATGATAATTAGTACGAGTAATATAGTTTTAATTCATATATGGTAAAAATGTTAAGCAAAAAGTAAATCCCAAACTAGTGTACTTATGAGGATATAAAGTTTTTTATCACTACTCCTCATGTTGATGTGTAACATCTAAAGTATCACCGTTGTTGCTTGGCGCTGACACCTCGCAGCACAACGTAGTCTTCACTTTGGTGGGTCGAAACTTCGTTAAAAAGAACGCTGATACGGCGCAGAACAACTTACATAATACTGGGCAGAGGAATGCTTGGTGAACGACGGCGCATATCCTGTACATCTGACCGTCGAAGGGATCAAGGACTGCTGGGCACAGCATGTGGTTTAGATTCACTTGAGTGGGCTGGAAATTAAAGATATTATTCTTTTTCATATAATATACAGGGCGGCCGCCGAGATATACGATATACTTCGTATATAAATTAATTCTGTGACTAATTTTAAGCAAAAATGGTTCTTTTCACTTTTCCCAAATTCCCAAGTAAATTACATTGTCGCGACTAGAGGTAATTTAATAATTAGCAAGTTGGCTAGAATCATTTTTGCTTAAAATTAGTCATAGACTAACTTTTTTAACTTTTTATTTTAGCACAAACCAAATAAAGGTGGAATTATTTACATTTTAAGTTCATTATTGGTTGACAGACTAATATAATTTTTTTAAATTCAATATTTATTTATTATTACATAAAACCTTAATATAGATGCGTAATATCAAAAACTGTTAAAGATAAGTATCATTTTTCATTTTTTAAAAGCTCCTTTAACGATCTTTCCATTGGTGTATCATTTAAGAAAACATCTGTTAGGACTATATCTTGGAAATGCGACATTAAAAAAAATCTATATACAACTTTAATTTTTAATTTTTTTCGCATCTCTAACAGTAACGGAGGAAAAAGGGGAGGCAATTTTCGCGTAACTACCCTGTACAAGGTGTTTTAAATTTAACACCACGATCTATTACCGAATACAAAAAATAAAATTAAAAAAAATTAATTTGGTTTCTAGTGGGTCCATTTTACGTCAATAATATTATTTTTGAGAATTCTTGAACTAAATTATGACATCATCGGCAATTTTTGCAGCATCAGAGGTATTGCATTTGACTGAACAACTTTTGTCAACTAAGGATTTTTTTACTATCTCCATCTGCTTAGAAGTTATGTACAAATATTCTTCTAAAAATACGAACAGTAACATTAAAAATATGTTGGACAAGACAAGTAGGTACTTTATCTTTATGAATTTTGTTATCTCCATAAATTATTAAATTAAATTGTTTTAAGGATTTAGTTGTCATTTCGAAAAAATTAATCATTTGTTTGCTGCATAAAATTATCAAAGATTAATCAGTTTAAACAATAATTTGTCTAATATTATTTTCTTTGTAATTTTATTTTCTGTAATTTCTATATACGTTGGAGAGAGCAAAAGTAATTTGCTTATTTTTGTAGGAAAACAATTTAGTCCAATTTGAGATCATGAGTTAGGTACATTCTTTATTACGTTTCTTTATTCCGTATAATGTAATATTAAAAAAGTCTTCCTGTAATGAACTACTAAAAATTTTTTATACAGTGTCCGCAAATTTCACCGACAACGTTTTTAAGAAATAATACGCCCTAATAGTCCAAATAAATGTACCAAATTTTAACGCGATTGGTAAAACGGTTATGAAGTTATTAATTAAATTAGTTTTATTTTTGACAATTTTGAGAGCTTGTAACTCAAAAACCAAAAAAAAAACATATTTATTTATTATTTTCGTGAATATGCAGTCAAACGTCGGTGTTTGCGGACACCCTGTATTTCTAGATGTTCAAGGCGATATTGAAAAATTAAAAGAAAATGAAAAATAATTACAACAATAAAAAAAACCATATAAGTACTAAGTACTTGTTAGAATTGAAAAATTCTTTGCTTACAAGACAACTATCATATAAAGTAAAGGGATACAATTTTAATTTTAGTTAAAATTAATTTTAAAATCCTGGCTCCTTCGCCATTTTATAGAACTAATATGCTACCGAGTGTTATATGCGAGGTTATATGTTATTTATTTATTTGTATTAGTCTAACGTTAATTTGTTGTAGTGCTTTTTAAACAATTAACAATCTTTTGTCAGCTACCCCTTTAATTAGTTATTAAAAAACCCTTCAAATATTAAAATTTTCTTTTTATTTTAATTTTGTAAAACCCTCAATAAAATAAAAATCTGCTACCACTTTATTTGCATGATACTATTTGCTACATGCTGAATTTTGTTTATCGGAAGTAACTGTTAAGGGCCCCATATTTTTTAAATAGTGTTTTCCACAAAGACGAATANACGACGGCGCATATCCTGTACATCTGACCGTCGAAGGGATCAAGGACTGCTGGGCACAGCATGTGGTTTAGATTCACTTGAGTGGGCTGGAAATTAAAAGTATTATTATTTTCCTTGTAATATACAGGGTGGCAGCCAAGGTATCCGAAAAACTTCGTATGTGAATTATATGACTAATTTTAAGCAAAAATGATTCTATTCACTTTTCCCGAAATCGCAATGGTTTTTGAAATATCGGGGTTTGAATTTGCCAGGTGGTATGGCTAGTTGCTAAAGAATAAATTACATTGTTGTGACTAGAGAGGGCTTAGAAAAAAATGTGGTTTATTTTAATAAGAGCGTAATGACAGTGTAATTATTAAATCTGCTCAATGTGATCAATGCTTTGTGCAATGCATAACTCAGTCCTCTGTCGAAGCTTTCATTCCCAGTTCTCCATATTGGTTTTTACCTCAGTATGCTGTATGAATCTTCTCAATGAGTTGGTCTCTGCAGTTAGGCTTTCCCACTGAATAGGTAAGTGTCTTCATATGTCCCCACATGAAAAAGTCCACCGGGTTGAGATCCGGAGATCGCGGTGACCAAGCAATAGAACCACCAAGACTTATCCATTGGATTATGTAAAAAGTACATCATTCTTCTAATTTGAAGAGGAATATCCTGAAGTAGTAGAGGTAGATCGTTCCCCAAAAAAGTCCGGTATATCTCGCTGTTCAAATTTCCGTCCAAGAAATGTGGTCCGATAACTTCATTATTCCAGCCCAAACGTTTACGGAGAATTTTTTTAAATGCGGGTTTCTCGAATAGCACGAGGGTTTTCGATTGCCCAGATATGATCGTTCTGCAAATTCCATCTCTTGTAAATGTACCTTCGTCACAGAAAAGTGTTCTTGAAAGAGTATTCACAAAGTCGAATTCTTTGGGCAAGATCCGTGGGGAGAAGTTCTTGTACCACCGGTTGGTAATGATAGACATGCAGTCCGTTTTCTGGCAAAGTGTCTTGCACAGCCGTCCTACTTTGTACAGAAATTCTTCTCGTACTAGTACCAGGATCATTTTCAACAAGCTCAAGCACTTCTGCAGCATTGTTTCTTCGCATAAATTATCTCATAAGTCGGTTTAGGGAATGCACCTGTTAATCGAAGAGTTGTGAGGGTTCTATTGAACTTTGTCTGGAAGACGCCGGTTTGGATATCGTCGTTGATATTCTCCAACTGAGGCGGTGGTACTACCGTTGCCATATCCATATACGAAAATCATGTCCGCGTATGATGATGACAAATGATGCAAAAAATTAAAAAGAATCAACTGCTGATAATAATTAACGAATTGACAATCATCAGTTTTTTTCTAATCCCAGCCAACTTGCTAATTATTAAATCACCTAGCTCTCTAGCCGCAACAATGTAATTTACTCTTTAGCAACTACTCATACGACCTGGCATATTCAAATTAGTCATAGAATTCATACACGAAGTTTCTTGGATACCTCGGCAGTCACCCTGTATAAAAAGTTCTTTAATTTGTAATTTTTTTTATTCCGAGGTACTCCATTGCTAAAATGGTAATCAGAAGATTAAGTCAAATCTTAATATTTGGTATTTCTTAATCTAATAATATATTCTTTTGTATTCTCTGCATATAAATTTTAATGTGACAACACGAAAAATCATTCAAATTTAAATAGGTAAGTGTAATTAAGAATACAGTTTTTAATAAATGAACACTTTTTGTCTAATTTGCCTTCTTACTTTAATACTGTTCTTATATTTATTTTTTAAAAACATTTTGTATATAGTCTCCCTAAAGAATAAGTATTTTTAACTTTTTATTTTAGTAGAAACCAAATAAACGTGGAATTATTTACATTTTTAGTTCATTATTTGTTGACAGAGTATTATAATTTTTTTAAATTCAATATTTATTTATTATTACATAAAACCTTAATATAGATGCGTAATATCAAAAACTGTTAAAGATAAGTATCATTTTTCATTTTTTAAAAGCTCCTTTAACGATCTTTCCATTGGTGTGACATTTAAGAAAACATCAGTTACTATATCTCGGAAATGCGACATTAAAAAAAACCTACATACAACTTTAATTCTTAAATTTTTTCCCATCTCTAACAATCACGGAGGAAAAAGGGGAGGCAATTTCGCGTAACTACCCTGTACAAGGTGTTTTAAACTTAATGCCACGATCTATTACGGAATACAAAAAATGAAAATAAAAAAAATTAATTTGGTTTCTAGTGGGTCCATTTTACGTCAATAATATTATTTTTGAGAATTCTTGAACTAAGTTATGACATCATCGAAAGTTTTTGCAGCATCAAAAGTATTGCATTTGACTGAACAACTTTTGTCAACTAAATAAGTTGGACAAGACAAGTACTTTATCTCTATGAATTTTGTTATCTCCATAAATTATTAAATTAAATTGTTTTAAGGATTTAGTTGTCATTTCCAAAAAATTAATCATTTGTTTGCTGGACAAAATTATCAAAGATTAATCAATTTAAACAATAATTTGTCTATTTTCTTTGAAATTTTATTTTCCGTAATTTCTGTATACGTTGGAGATCAAAAGTAATTTGCTTATTTTTGTAGGAAAACAATTTAGTCCAATTTGAGATCGTATGTTACATTCTTTATTTCGTTCCTTTATTGCCCATATAATGTAATAAAGTCTTCCTGTAAAGAAATACTAAAAATTTTGTATACAGTGTCAGCAAATTTCACCGACAACGTTTTTAAGAAATAATACGCCATAATAGTCCAAATAAATGTGCCAAATTTTAACGCGATCGGTAAAACGGTTATGAAGTTATTAATTAAATTAGTTTTGTTTTTGACAACTTTGAGAGCTTGTAACTCAAAAACCAAAAAAACGTATTTATTTATTATTTTCGTGAATATGCAGTTAAACGTTGTCGGTGTTTGCGGACACCCTGTATTTCTAGATGTTCAAGGCGATATTGAAAAATTAAAAGAAAATGAAAAATAATTACAACAATAAAAAAAACCATATAAGTACTAAGTACTTGTTAGAATTGAAAAATTCTTTGCTTACAAGACAACTATCATATAAAGTAAAGGGATACAATTTTAATTTTAGTTAAAATTAATTTTAAAATCCTGGCTCCTTCGCCATTTTATAGAACTAATATGCTACCGAGTGTTATATGCGAGGTTATATGTTATTTATTTATTTGTATTAGTCTAACGTTAATTTGTTGTAGTGCTTTTTAAACAATTAACAATCTTTTGTCAGCTACCCCTTTAATTAGTTATTAAAAATCCCTTCAAATATTAAAATTTTCTTTTTATTTTAATTTTGTAAAACCCTCAATAAAATAAAAATCTGCTACCACTTTATTTGCATGATACTATTTGCTACATGCTGAATTTTGTTTATCGGAAGTAACTGTTAAGGGCCCCATATTTTTTAAATAGTGTTTTCCACAAAGACGAATAATAATAATATCTCTCCTCCTCGTTCTAACTACGAGAGTTAGCCCAGAAGTCGGAGACTTATGCGGGAGAGGAGGCGGCATATTATTATTAAGTAGGCTGCATTTGCGCCCAGGAACGACTTATGTTGGTAGGCCCTAACCACCATTCAGTGCAGGAATGAGGGAATCCTGGAAAACCTCATTAATTAGGGGGGTGGTCAAATGCCAACCGGTGTCAATCTCTCACATTGACCCAAGCCAACATTCTTCCACCCTACCATACCTGCACAGAGGGTGCCAATCCTCCGTACAAGCATAGCTAATCTACGGTCTACCGGCCGCGGGATTCNGGTAACAATGAATAAACAGAACATCAAGGATTTTATTTTTGTGCTTACTTTTGTTCTACACGTTTTAGTTTTCAAGATTTCAGTACCTAAAAACGCCAGAAATTTGACTATTTCTCAGCCAGGGATATGGCCACCTTAAAGGAAATATTCAGAAATAAAGCAAAATACCTAATTTAATCTAATGAATACCACATTTAAAAAATTTAATCTGGATGTGTTTTTAAAAAATAGAAAAACAAAATTAATTAATTTACTCATACCTATATCCTTGTTTTTAATTTAAAATCATATCTCCCAATTTTAAAAATTTTATGGTAATGTCGATAGTAGTAGAACAATACAAATAGCTAAATGAGGATTTTTTATTTTCGTTTATTGTTATTTACTTTTATGTGAGAGAGTAGGTTTATTTGATAATTTGATTTTACAACAATGTGTTTAGATTTAACCCCAGAATGAATTTGGTGATAATTTTATTATTAGGCTATGTATTTAAATTTATTTACCCATCAAGTTTTGATTTTTTTTTTAAATTTTAAATATGTTTAATATGACACTGTAAACTGAATAGACTAGTTAAAATTTTCATTTTCATGACAAACAAGTAAACTTAATTTAAATTCGTGCAATTTATTCTTTCGCTATGTTGTTGTTAGGACGATAACATAATCACACAAAAAAAATTCTTTTTGCATTGGATCAAAATAAAAACTTGTTATTCTTGCACTTTTTCCTCTCCAGGAGTTACAGGTATGTTAATAATGCTCAAAATTGGTTAAAAATGGAGGTAACTCTACAAAAAGGCATTTTAGAAAAAAACGTAGAAGTTTTTCAAGCAGGGCTAGAATAAATCCTCTTTGAATTACCTACTGAAAATCCCACTGTCCCTCTAAATCACAATATATCTTAGTAAATATAAGTATATCCTCCTATATCCTAGCAATCCTTCCAATAATGCCTTTCTACACTTTTTATATATTTTTATTTACATTCAGCAATATAAGTTCTACGTTCAAAAGTATGAAAAAGGCTCTAATAAATAGGCTGCAAATATTCACAAACAAGGGTTTTTAGCCCCTTAGAAAGCATTTTCATGCATGTGTTTATTAAATATTATTCTTACGTAAAATCTACCAAGTAATTTGTCAGGCCAATAGTATACCAGATTTAGATTATATGGGAACTTTTATTGAAGAAAACCGCCAGTGGCATATTTTCTCTTGGGAAAATGGGGCGGCACGTTAAGTAGCACTCCACTGGTTAATGTTACAATTTTAGATTCTACATGTTATTTTAGGTGGACTTTTATGAAGTTTCCCTATTCCTAAAATTAACCGTTTTCGAAATATTTAATTTTTTTCAAAAAAAAAAAATGGAGAGAAACAAGTGTATTTTATATTAAGAAAGATAAAGCAACAATATTTATAGGGGGGGATAGCTAGACCCCTAAGCTTCCCAACCATACTTTCAAAGTGGCTTAATTGCATACTTGATTATTATACAAAAAAAATCGATAAAAAACAAAACGGCACAAATATTTTCAATACCGTTAGAGATAGGTATAGGGAACCTATACACAGTTTGAAAGAGTTTTAAATTTCCCAACTCCCAAAGTAAAAATATACTGGGTGTTCCATTTAAAATAACCAAGTTATTGCTGTTTAAAGTTGAGAGAAGTATTCAGCAGTTTTTTGGACACCCTGTATAATACTAAGTGACGACAAATATAACAATTTATAATTTCAAGCATCTAAAATAGACCCTCCAAAGCTGCTGCCTTAAAATTATTTTTTTATTGCTAATATTAAATTTCTACGCTATGCTTGCATTTTCACTAAAATTGAAATATCTCACAAACTATAAGTCCTAGGTATGCAGAACCTTTAATAAAGTTCACCTATTTTTTTACGGTGCTTTCAAAAATGCAGTAAAATACAGGGTGTTCCATTTAAAAAAACATAACTTTGATATGGTACGCTTTTCCTGGACACCCCGTATATCTCAAAATATTTTTAAAATGTAGCCGTAATGAACCTACACATACCCACCTAAACAGGTTTCTGTAACATTTGCCGTTTGGTCACTAGCGACCGAGGCGTTACTGGTGGCCCACCCTGTATACTTATGCTAAAAAAAAATTAAAATAACTTATATAGATACTTACTAAAGCTACTCCCTGGAGAACAACAAAATGGTATATCAAATTAATACTGTAACTAATAGCGCTCCACGTGTAATCGGAAAATTCTTCTACGTTGTATACACCTAAAAACAACCATTAGAATTTATATCGTAATTCATAAAAAAAATTACCTCCGAGTCGTAACAGATAATAAGGCACAACGAACATCATTCCATGCTGGATCCAATAAATGGCCGATTCTAATGGCAGCTTTAACGTAATAAACGAATATTAATGGCATCATAGCAACAAAACTGTTGGACAAAACAACGGTATTAAATAGACGTGAAAACAGTGGCGGCTCGTGACATTGAGAATAGGTGAAGCATATTCATTGATGACTAAAAAGAAAAAAAAAAGCGCCGTAGGCGAAAATTTTCAAATGTTCAAGGTCAAACGGCTTTAAATTAATCTGGAAATTTTTAGTTGCATTTGCAATATTACCGAAAAACTGACGTTCGTGAGAATGATTTTCATTTAGATTTTATAAAAAATAGAAATATTAGTTCGGTTTGTGGACTTCTGCAAACATTAACGCACACCGTACATGTATGTTCCAGAGGCTTTGTGGTTACGACAGCCTGGCGTGACGTTCCCAAAATTGTTAAATTCCTTCTTATTCCACACGCCCGACTTTACACCCACAATTAAACACGGCATACAGTAAAGTTTTTTTAAATAAACACTTTCACACAACCACTTATACTCCGAATACCTTTCATTCCGAAACTTCCGAACGTACACATTGTTTTTTGACTTCCGCTTTTTTGCATATTGAAAGAGTAAGGTACAGATCTCTCGCAATTTAAAAAATCTCTTTTGTCCTCAATTTTCCATCTGGAAAATGGCGTTTCATAAAATACGTACTGGATCATACATAGGAAACATTTCTACAATTATTATACAAAACAAATATTAACTAAGAACAGTTATAATCGTGCACTGGGCGACGCGTATCGTATAAACTGTTTAAAGGCAGGCGATGGGCGATGAGTCATCGCCGATGACAATGATGCTTCAATATCCGCGTCACTCGTTCCCCCACGCCGTAGTTTACTCCCGTGTTGGCCGCCTCGTTGCCACGACAATCGCCGTAAACAACGCTTCGAAGTGAAGCGGAATACAGACTGATTTCGATCTGCGTCACTTGCGTGTACTATACGTTGTATGGTACGAGGTTGATGTTCGCGCTCAACGAAGGCAATGGTTTTTTAGACGTGTAACTATTGTTTATTTCTGCGTATTAAACAAACAAATACGATACATTTTCAATATAGAATTATACCTAAATTTTAAATTGATATAAAATTAAAAATTGCACAACCAAACGGAAATATTAGGTGAAGCGGTGCGTCACTTGCGTCGCCTGACGAGCCGCCACTGCGTGAAAATGAAAAGCGTTAGCTGGCAGTATAAGTACCAATAATACCAGTATAATTTCACAAATATATGCAGTAATATTCAGGGATGATTACGAGACTACTAAAGAAAATAACTTTTGAGTTACATTAGCAAATCTATTATTACTCATATTTGATTCAGTATAGAATAATATGAATATACAGAATGTCTCCTGTATATCTACAAGGGAGAAACGCTCTGAAATGTGCATTAAACGCATTTATGTTTCTGTATTTTTAGTTTTAAATATCATTTGTTTGACTACCTATTTATTATTGAGTTTATCTACACTGACAAATAAGTAAAAAAATAAAATATAAGAAAAAATCCCATATAATCCCTATTCGTTAGGGGGTTTGCAAAACACATTTTGTTGCAGGTAACTAGAAAGCGATTGGAAATAATCTGTTACGTAAAGTATGATTGTGAAACTATACATGGTAAATTTAAATCAAGGCGCACAAAAAATATTACCAGATAATCTAGAGCCAAAACATGATAAATGGGCCAAATATACCTTAGGCCAAAGTTGCTTCGTTTTCAAGCTACAGGATATTTAATTTTTTAAAAAACATCACAAATATTTTTGACATTCCATAAGTTTATATATCAATATTATTCGTAAAATGATTAATTATTGAGTTAGTATTTTTTTAAATAAAACTACACAGATAAATAAGTATCTATAAAGCTATTGTTTTTAAAAAAGCATTTTTATAATTTTTTGTTGCAAATATAATTTTAAGCACAATACAATCATTAAGAATAAAAAACATTGATATAGAAATTTTAAATATTCTATAAATATACAGGGTGATTCACTTTTATGATTAGAACTTTAACTATCAATAGATCTCGTCAAAATAATGTCATTGTGAAGTATACGCTTTTTCTTCCAAAGGCTTCCTTTTAGAGATATAAGCTCTTGAAAAAAAATTTTTTTTTTGGTTTTCATTTATTTTTTCTTAACCATGAAAGACATTTGTAGTATGAGCCTCTTACGGACGCCTATGATTCATCTATTTTCATAATACTTTGTAAAATCAGTAGAGCTTTTCATTCGTACACTTCATACTAAATATAAAACATGGCTTTCATGGGTTAAGAAAAAATAAATAAAAACCAAAAAACATTTTTTTTTCGAAAACTTACATCTCTAAAAGGAAGCCTTTGGAAGAAAAAGTGTATACTTCAAAATGACATTATTTTGACGAGATCTATCGATGGTTAATCTAATCTGGCTAATCATAAAAAGTGAATCACCCTGTATAAAACAGGGAACTTTTGTAGGGTAAGTAATTTTGTTATTGTAAAACGTCAGAGTTGTCAAAGGTTGTAAACTGTTGTGTCAAAGAAAATTTGGTACAATTTGGTATCAGAAGTGGAACCTTGAGGATTATTAGTTTGAGAAATCAATAAATGCAAGTATTTAATATTGGAATTGTGGTGAGAAACGACATATTAAATTGAAGTGTCCTAAAGACTAACCAGTTTCCATGAAAATCTCTTCAGCAGATGCGACGTTCGAAGAGAACTGCATTAGGATCAAGGGCGAAATTTTGAATCCGATGTGATCTAAAGGGTATGTCAGTTGATTGATTTCAAAAATACCAGAACAATACCTTTGAATCCACAATCCGATGACGTGATATAGAGATTTAACCGGACCCTGGAAAATCACCTGCGAATAGTTGTCGATGAACATCAATCCGACACGTACCTCTTTTTTTATTGGCTTATTGATCAGCAGTTTATGATACTATTGGAAGAACACCAGCTAGTATAGTTGTCGGTAGAGAATTGAGGCTACCCTTCGACATTATTGTGGTTGGCCATAGAAAATCGAATAGAAAATAAAGTTTGATAACGCGCTCGGGTACAAACATTATTTCATTCAAGTTTGTTTCAGCCGATACTGAAATCACGGTACGATGTCAGAATCGAGATCGGTGGATTCCAGGCAGAAGGTATGTAGTATGGTTGTTCAACCTAGTAATGAAGAAAGGAAAATCATCAAAGTTCCAGAACTTTTGAGGATGTCCAGAGGATCCCGAGTGAAAATGGCAGTAGTTCACCTGGATCGTTTCCAGCAGAGAGGACTCTGATTGCTATTGTGGACGATCGCCGATTTATTCACTTAGTTCCACGATACTTTTAGAATGTTCTTAGAAGCTTATATATAGGTACAGTTCTTAGAAAAATGTGGTAATTTTGTTATTGTGAAACATCAAAGTTGTCAAAGATTATAAACAGTTGTAAAATATTGGTGCTAAAGGGAATTTGGTACAATATTTTCACAGATTATTTTAATAGGCTTAAAAAATCTGTTTTGTTTCAGGGTTTTCATAGTTTTTTATATTTACTACTCCAGATGGTAGTAATTTCTGTATGTATCTCGAAGAAGAAGTTTTACGAAAAATTGTCAAGAGTAGCATTTAACTAAATCTAAATAAAATTTTACGCTACGACATTAGCAGAAATTGTCCATGGTCGTACGTCAGAAAAAATAGCGGAGATAAAGTAACCCCTTCCCCACAGTTTGGTATATCTAATAAATTTCAAGGTGATACATAAAAAATTGACAAAATTATTGTGAAAAAACAATTTTTTTAAAATTCAAATTTAACACCCTGTATTTTTTAAGGAAGGCATTTTTGTATATTTGAAAGTAGAATCTGATCATCACATTTTGTCCCGAAAACAATCTGGTAATTTTTTTGTTACATCCTGTACGTAAAAAATATATACAGTTCCGTGAAGGAAACATTTATTTAATTAAAGTTCAATACTATGATATACAAGCAAGAATATATTTCTTTAAATTGCATGTATATTTTTCTTGGTTCTATTTTGAACTAAACTATTCTGAATCAAGCTGTGTATAAACTGTTCACACTGAAACCAAAACAATCTTCCGAAATAATGTTTGAATCCTATATATATACACGTACAACAATTTAAGGATTTGGTTCATTCTGTCATTACACTATTGCCATCAATGATTTCTACATCCTCTACTTACAATTCTAGTGTCTGTTTCAGGAAACAGATACGCTAAAAGTGGTCCGTTCAAAAGGTTTAAATGAAATCGGAACACTGCTGTAACCACTTTACTTGGAGAAGCGGCTAACAAATATATCTGAAACAAAAAAAGAAGTGTAAAAGTTATGGATATATAGGTACTGTATGTATATCGTTAAACTACAACTGACTATAAATCTAAAAAATAGTTAAATTTCTACCGAACAAGATATGTATGTCAGTGTGGAATTATTGTAAAAAGCAATGGTTTCAAAAATCCATTTTTCCAGTAGATGAACAACAAGGCAATTTTTTGAAAGCATATTTATGCAAAAACTTACTAGAAGCAAGTACCGTTTCTTTTAATATTGTTTTTTTCTTTAGTTAATGCAATAGCTAAATTCGAAAAAAAAACATTCAGACGTGCTTATATCATTTCTAAAATCCAAGATCAACTTTACTTTTGAAGTTGACATAATTTTCATATTTTTAACCCATCTCAATAATATTTACTTGCTCTTGCTCTAAATTGAATTTTGAACTTATTTACCACATTCAGTAAACAGCTATGTTAATCAAGAATTGTTATTTTTACTTATCTAGCAAATATGTTTCCCACTTATAATTTATTAGATCAGCAATGGAATTTTATCTTCCTTTCATCTATCAAAAATAAATATATTGTTGTTTTATTAACAGATACCATCCTGCTTCAGTTGACTATTTGGAGATTATTATCATCTTAAAGATAATGTATAGTGACAGATATTCAGAATTTGAGTGATTTTTATTTTTAAGTACATTTAATAAGTCAGGATAATTTAAAATATCTTTAAATCAAAATAAATACAATTTATATTATTAGATTTTAAGGCGTTGATTCTATTTTTTGCGTACTGCTTACGTAAATACTTATTTCGTTGCTTACTATTGGCTGTATCAACTGATTAACAATAATTGATGCTTATTGTAAATATAACGATGATACAGTGAAAATCATTTTTACTAGGTCATTGTTACATTGGGTCAATAGTTTACCCAATAAAAGTATCGCTAAAGTAAGGATAGTCTTTTTTTATATGGCTCTTAATTGTTGTAAGTTAGAACCAGTTTAACAGCACGTATCTTTATAATATGCAATTGATTTGATGGTTTATGAGAAAATTAGAAAATAGCAGATCGGATTTTACTATTAAAAAAATCGTTTCAATTTCTGACCCACGAAAGATTACGGAAAACATGGGCAACCATTTAAACATCAGAATGTATCTTCCCTGTTTTGTCGAGAATTTTGTAAAAAATACTCAACAATTATGATTAATTCATGTTTGTAGTATCGTACGCGATATTCAACAGGCGGGTAAAGTTCATGAAACGCACTTAAGAACATAAAAGGTAAATATATGTGGTTTTTTTTCTCTTATTCTGAATGTATTGTCAGCTTGTAAATTGTCTTATACCCTGGAGAAGTCTTGTATATCTGGTACAGTGAAGATATTGTTTCTAACTTGCTTAGATTTTCTGAAACCCTCAACAAAAAACTGCTAAATAAAAAATGTTACGGTAGGTACATTTTTTTAAATTAATAATAGTAATAATAATTAAATAGGTATTTTTTTCTTTGTCGCTGACTGAATTATGTTTTCAGTATTAGAAAATTTTTCAGGACCCCTATATGTATCTTTGATAGCGAGCTTTGAAAAAATATTTGCATTTTGGTCTAGATCCTGGAATTTTTGCCAGAATTATTGTAAAGATGCTTACCATAGAACGTTTCTCAAAGAAATGTTATAAAAAGCAGATAGTTATGTGTCCGAATATATGATAGTGACTCGAATTAAATTATAATCAGAAATGTTATTCAAATATAACTCGTAGATCTCGATTAAGTATATCAGATCATACGATTTCAGATAACACAACACCCAAATGCAACCTTCTTTTCTTTTGAAAAACGTCACGAATGACGACTACTATTTTTTGGATAAAAATATATTTGGTAGCATTAACGTTGGTATTTATTTTGATAAGCAAATCGATATTTATAAATATTTTTGAAGTGGTTGTTACCTTATAAAAACGAAGTCTGTAGCAACAGTTTTCAGTCGGTGCTGTGTAACTTGTTGTACAAAGGTATGTAAAAAACTGTTCACTTTTAATTTTAGTTTTCATTTAAAATTACTGTAAATTTATAGATTTGAAAGGGCACCTAAAAATTTATCAAGAACAAAGCAATGATTTTAATAATAAATAGTTAAAAAAACGAGCCTCAATAAAACAAGGGTCTAAAGCCACCAAGTTTCTGTATACAGTATGTTGAAGTTTTAACATATATCAATTAAGTATTCAAATATCTTTGATGATGACACTGATGACTCTAATGGCTAATAATTTAGTTAATTTTATTGAAAATTCGTTGAACTGGTTATATCTGCCAACCGGTTTTACATATACTGTCACTGCGAGTTCCTGAACTTCTACGAACGTGATTTTACAGAAATAAATAAATAGGTATAATGTATTGCTTGAAGTTACTTATTTGTAAGAAATTAGTAAATTAAATAAATAGACCTGTGCCAAAAGCGTCAGTCAAGGTTAATTTTTATTAACCTATTTTTGAAATGAAATTAGAAATAATGCAGGCATTTTTCCAAAAATTAGACGGTCTTTAGAGAAAAGAATGAATTTATGTATTGAGACAAATGGTCGTCATGTAGAGCATCTATTGTAAAATTAATTATCTTATTTATGTCGTTAATTATCTTTATTTTTGTTTTTTATTTTAATTTTATTTTATGTATTTAAATGTTAATTGTTGTTTTATACCCTCACGAAATAAAATTATTTTAAAATTTCCAAAACAATGTAAACAACTTAATACTTACGACTTTTATTATCAGTATTTGTAAATTTTGTTGATTTTTCAAAGCCAACTTGATATTACAGATACAATTTTATAATACAACATGATGTTATGTTAGAAACACGAAAAGTTTAAATTTATTTTTCTCGAAAACGGTTCATGATATCGATTTCAAAGAAGAGGACATTTTTTCTGAAAATTATCTTGAATTTCTCAAATTTGGTGTCGGATACAAAAAAAAGTAAAAAAATAAAACATTTTTAATAAAAATACCCGTTTGTCTCCACCTACTGATACGCTTGTGGTGGTTGTAAAAAAAATAATTACAGCGAATGACGGGTTTGTATCCGTTTATTGATCATACAAAGTTTGAAATTTTTAAGTAAAGGCATCTTTGAATAATTAAAAGAAAACTCATATCACGATGTCTTCTTCAAAGGGCTGTAGCTCACTTAGGAAGCATTTTCGGATTAAGGTAATTTGAGGTAAATCGACATAAAATAACCTCTAGTACCTGTAGTTTCCGTTTGACAGAAGAATTTCTGGATACCCTGTATACTAAAACCTTCCTCGAGAACCACTCTATACATTAGTGAAAACTGCATGAAAATCGGTGCAGTAGTTTTGAGTTTATCGCGAACAGACAGACAGACAGATGCGGCGGAGGACTTTGTTTTATAATATGTAATGATTTAATATTAGCTTAGTATCTTTAAAATAAAGTAAAAATATATTTATATGAAAAATACCATTGATAATTACATCAAATTTTTATATTTCAGTAGCCGATTACATAAAAGGACAAAATGGGATACTGGCTTCCCATCCTAACGGTCTTAGTGGCCAGTTTAGCTCCACAATATGTTAGTGCAGCTTCCTGTACTATAACAAAATACAGCGCTTCAGACATCAAAAGTGCACAAAGCTCCTGTTCTGAAATTGTTATCAATGGAATTGAAGTAGCTGCTGGTGAGACACTGGATTTGACACATCTTAAGCAAGGCACCAAGGTAACCTTCAAGGGAACCATCACATGGGCTTACAAAGAATGGACTGGACCACTGCTTAGCGTCGCTGGTACTGACATTGAAATCATTGGTTCTTCAGGACACGTGCTCGATGGTCAGGGCAGTTTGTGGTGGGACGGTAAAGGAGGAAATGGCGGAAAGAAGAAGCCGAAATTCTTCAAAGTCAAACTAACGAACTCAAAAATCCACAAAATCAATATCAAAAACTCTCCTGTCCACATATTCTCAATTGGCAACAGTGATGGCGTAGTGCTTCAAGACATCTCCATTGATAACTCCGCAGGCGACTCCGGTGGTGGCCACAACACCGACGCTTTCGATGTTGGTAACTCCAATGATATCACCATCAAGAAAAGCACTATTTACAACCAAGATGATTGTTTGGCAGTTAATTCTGGAACCAACATCGTATTCTCAGATAACTACTGTTCTGGTGGTCACGGAATCTCCATCGGTTCCGTTGGTGGCAGAGACAACAACGTCGTTAAAGGCGTCAAGGTCAGCAGCTGCCAAATTGTCAACTCAGACAACGGAGTAAGAATTAAAACCGTCTATGGCGCATCTGGATCCGTGTCTGACATTACATACCAAGACATCACCCTGTCTGGAATTCACAAATACGGTATCGTCATTGAAGGTGACTACGAAAATGGAAGCCCAACTGGCACACCAACTGGAGGCGTTCCAATCACCGGTTTGACTGTGAAGAATGTTAAAGGTTCAGTCGACTCTAGTGGCGTAAATGTTTACATTTTAGTAGAAAGCGCCTCCGACTGGCATTTCTCTGGCATCTCCGTCTCAGGTGGATCCAAAACCAAAACTTGCAAAGGCATTCCTTCTGGTGCAGGAATTTCGTGCTGATGTCGATGAACCTTTCAACTTTTTACAAAATTTGTATGGTTAATGTAAATATCGTGTAACAACATATTATTAATAAACAGTAATATCAACTTTATTTTTCATTAAACAACTACCGAGGGCGTATTAGGGCGCAAAATGCAGAAGCGTTAATGTAACTTCAATGTTAGAAGTTTTCTACTACTGTAGTTATAAATAACAATGATACTTGATTAACTCCAGACCGGATGCTCAGATTATTATCTTTGTTCTTGTCATTCTTGTGGTTTTAGATAGCAAGAATGTTATGTTAAGATCACTATGAGTTAATTTTCGAAAATCACTATTATTAGAACTAGAATGTTCAATATAAGTATTGCTGTATTTATATTACCAAGAGGTGACGATATGATATATAAAAGAATTATTGAATATGATAGTTTTCATAGAATTTCAACGTAGACTTCAACAATTAATTTGTCAAATTTAAAATAAAAACCTATATATCATTGCAATATTTTATTTAGATAGATTTAAAAGTATCCCTGTTTAAAATTATCCAGCTTGTCTTTTTTTGTTGATTTTTGAAATCTCTTGAAAATAGTCATAACGTAATTTTTTTTCATATTACATATTCGGTTAGTCAATAATTCTAGTATCAAATTTAAGCTCAACACTAAACTTACTAGACAAATGTATGCTATGTCTCATACAATTTGAACGCATCGAATGCTTTCACTCAAATTTTTAAGGTTAGGTTGGAATTCTATAACCTGTTTGTTTAGAGTACCAAACTGTAAGAAAATAGGTGTGAGTGAAAGCAATAAAGGCTCGGAATTAATCAGTTGAGTGAAATTATTGAGTAGATTTTCACTCAAAATTAGGAAATTTCCTCGCGTAAACTCGTATTTGGTGCACTTGTATCTAAATCAGAGTAAATTATTTCCATCATTTTTCATATCCAGATGCATTGTCTTTGTTCCCTTTATCCCATTAGGGGAGGCGTGTGGTAGAGCGCAGGGCCTTTTTAGCCTTCTTCATCGAGTTGTGACGTTACAACGTATGAGACAACAAAAACAATTTTTGCTCGTAACTCGGAAATGGCTGGAAATATAAAAAAATCTCCCCCGGGTGTATGGCATCATAGAATAAAAAAGTGGTTATAACTCAGAAACGGTGCGTTGAATCAAAGAAATAATTGGAAAAATCTCCCCACTCCCCAAGTTCTGATTGTCCGTTCTGCGTTGAATGTAAAAGATCCGAAGTCCGTATGTCGAAAATAAACTTCGGAAACATGAGGTATCTGACGTTATACACTAAAAAAGGCCTTATAACTCGGAAATGGTGCGTTGAATGGAGAAAATGTCTCAATCGAAGCGGGGTAATTGTTAGTTTTAATTGTTTGAACAGTTGATAAAGTTAGTTGTAATTGATTTAGTTGCAAGACACAATTAATATAGATTAATCCAAATAAATTAATTACAACGCGCAATTAATAGTTCACTTGCAATTAATTTTAACTGCAATTAAATTAATCGCAATTACTTTTTTAATCAATTTTTATTTAAGTCAAAGTCAAAGTCAAAAGTCAAAAAATATTTATTGTGCATAGTTAAAATGGCAATATACAAACCTATATACAAAAAGACTAGACACAGATAACGGATGATTAACCTACCTCCCAGAAGGTCAATTAACTCACACATGATAACAAGTCTATATATTAAAAGCAATATATTATAATACTATAAATAATTATATTTTTGTGTTTTATTTATTATAATTTAGTTTTGTTTGTTCTGTGTAGTTTATTTAATAAATAATGTTAGGCGCCAATTTATAGTATTATAAAGATTTATTTAACATGTGAAATGTATTTAAAATATTTAAATTTTGAATTTTCCTATAGTATTCTTAAAAAATATCACAATAAATTATGTTCTATACTTACCAAGCTAGCTCTTTTTATATGTCACTTAATTTGATTTTGAATCTTTAAATGTAAATTTATTCATTATATATATTTTTTTAAAATTATTCTCAAACTATAATTTAATTATATTTAAAAAATTTAATAATTTTAATGACAACTAGACTACTAGTGTACTTTCTGCAAATTATATTATAAAATTTTTATAGAGCATGTTGATATCTCAGTAGTCGGTTCTAAAGCTTTTTGAAATTAATTATGAAGAAAATATTTAATATGTAATTAATTTTGTTTCTTTGCTTTTGTTAAAAAAAAAACAATAATAAAATAGTATTGTTTTAATTGAGTTTGAAATTCGTATATTATAATAACAGGTTATAAATTTATAAAATCCTTCCTAATTCCCTATCTAACCTGAGCTAAATTATTGCTAATTACTTATTCTATAAACTTATAGTTTCTTGTTACCTATACTACACTTTTGTTGTCCTTTTGTCTATGTTTTCCTCACTAGTAATGTCCTTCCTGTAATCTCTCTCCTGTCTCTTCTCCTTCCTTTCTTTCACTCGAACTCTCCTCTATTTTGTCTTGTTCTCCTTCTGTGTCCTACTCCACTCCGTTGACTGCCACTGTCTGAATCACCTCCCTGGCTCGTACTGCTCCTTTCCTTTTCTAAATGGCTACGACAATTCAAAATTATGTTTTACTAACCTGACAGTATTATGATTATATTGAGTTATCTGTCAGTTTAGACTTCACCCTAATTTCCTTTCTGCCAAATATCTTCTTTTTTCCTATTTCCTGACTCTCACTGTTCTCTTCTTTCTTTATTGTTTTTTAAATGTCCCACAACAACTTTGTGCTTGATTACTTTTCTTTAATACTCTTCTTCTCCACAACATTTGTTTTTTTTTCTTGGTAGTTCATATGATTTTCTTTTAGTCTCCTGTATTTTATTACACTTCTTATTACTTTAAACTTCTTTTAATTGCTATGATTTGTATATCTTCTAATTCCTCTTTTTACTTCTTGATTCTCCTCACTATTTATTTCTGTCTCCTTGATCACCACTTTTTTTTCTATCATTTTCTTTCTCACCGCACTCTTATATCTAATTACAATGTTTATTAATATATAGTTTTCAATCTCAACCAATCAGATAATTTTATAATTTATACATTTTTAATTTACCATTTTTAATACCATTTTATTCTTTAGAATAGAGTCAAAAATCGCTCAACTGATAGCAGTAACTCGGATTTGAGTAAAACTCACTCATTTCTGATGCAATAGTTTCACTCAGTTATAATAATACTAATAGAGTGAAAATTTCACTCAATCGAGTGTGGACAGAAATTGATACATTATTGAGTGAAATTGAGTGAAATTTGTGTGAAATTTTTTTACAATGCATGCACTCGAGTATCCATCTTCATTAATTTATTACACGCATGGTTGTTTCTCGTAAAGTGAGCTACATAGCCCCTTTTCATCAGATATAAGCACAATTTTTTGTTAAGGGTACAAATTTATTGAGGTAAAAACAAATCTTTACTTGATACACAATTCAGATATCAAATTCGTAATCAGCGACTCAAAATACATACGTGTAGAGAGTCTAGTCTACCGAACGCAATACTGAACTTTTTTATTTCGTGTCTGTTTCTCTGACAAACTTTTTCTTGTTTGGGGTTATCAATTGTATTGTTTACTAGACGTTCATCGCTGTAGATAATAAAAAATAAATAAATGAGAATTATTTCAAGTTTGGTCTGACAGTATACCTGAAAGTGTGAGGTCATGCGTTGTTGGACTGATTTATTTTGTATCTACTTTATTGAAAGAATTATAATGTGGCCAGATATATAAGATTTTCTGTATCTAGCAGAAGTATAAAAAATAAATGGAGAGCGGCAAGCCGGCCTAACTGTTAAGAAATTCAATTGACTTAGAATCTCGGGACAGTCTACTTTATTGTTTAATAGTGCATGTACAAATTCCAAACTATGGAAGTGCTTTGTGTACTGTAACGAGTCGAGTTTGAAACGTGTTAATAGTATTTTGTAATCGCAGCCATGAGCAGGATATACGCCATCAGAACGAAATGCGAGGTTTTTCAAAAACTTTTTTGCACCGTATCAATTAAACTGGTTTGGTTAATATAAAACACAATCCAAGCCGGAGAGCAGTATTCCAATTTGGAACGGATAAACGCGTAAAATAATGAAAACAAAATGACATTATCTCTGAATTCACGACCTTGTCTAATCACAAATGTAGTCTGTGCGGGGACGCACAGAAGTAAAAACAATGTAGTTAGGGAAAAACTATTTATTCTCCTTAACTGGACCTCTAAACACAGAGAATGACAATAGTAATGGCCACATTCGATATCTGATGCCTTGCTAATTCTACATTTTCTTATATAAACTTTATAGAACAACGACGGTTATTGTAAGGATGCAAGGTGATATCACGCGCCGGCAAAGAACATGGGCCAGGGTCGGACTGCACATCCATCCTGAATATCTTTCGTCCTCGAAAGACACAAAGTTCCTGAAACAAGATTATTTGTTGTTTGCTGCTGTGCAACTTAAGAGAGCTGCTGATTTGTCTAAGAGAACTATTTTGTTAAGAGGTTACTGTTTTGCCTAAAATGGCTGATATTTTTCTTAAGAGAGTTACTAATTTGCCTGAGAGGCTTACTATCTTGCCTGAGAGAGCTACTGTTTTGCCTGAGAGGGCTACTGTTTTGCCTGAGAGGGCTACTATTGTGCCTGAGATGGCTGCTATTTTGCCTGAGAGGGCTACTGTTTTGCCTGAGAGGGCTCCTGGACCGTTCCGAGTGAATGCCTTCTTTTATGCGATAACAGTCGTTAGGTAGGACCTCTATAACTTTAAAAGGTCCTCGAAACTTTGGGAGTAACTTCTTACTTTCATTATTTGCTGGAAAACTTGTGATTCTTGATAGGACCAAATCACCTACAGAATACACCTTCGGTGGCAAACGGTGAACATTGAATTTTAGGTCCTGTTTAACCCTGTTTTCCTCTAGATTTTGAGCAGTTTTCTTTCGGATTTTTGTGACATCTATGATTTCTTCATCAAATATATTGTGCAGATCAGTATTCGTTCTAAGGGGAAAGCCGATGAGTAGCTCCGCGGGAGAGTGTTGAGTTATTC